ATGTATTGTATGCCCTTCGTGGACCCCGCTCGTTCGCGCCCGTCGTGGCCCCATGTGCATGCCCTTCGTGGCCCCGCAGTCGCCGTTCGTGGCCCCCTCTCTTTCCTTCGTGGCCCCTGTGCTGCCCTCAGCGGCTCCGTCGCTGCCCTCTGCGGCCCCCTATACGTATGCCTTTCGGGGCCCCCGCTCGTTCGCGCCCGTCGTGGCCCGCGCCAACAACGGTCTCGCTTGATACTTCCGTACAATGTATTGAAGAATCGCGCTCTCGCTTAGGACTTCCTTACAATTTACCACCGAATCGCGGCTCCCGCCTGATACTTCCTGACAGTTTATCGGAACATCGCGCTCTCGCTTTGGACTTCGCAACCATACGCAAGCCCTTCGTAGCCCCGCTGTCGCCCTTCGTGCCCTCTCGCTGCCCTTCGTGGCCCCTTTGCTGCCCGCAGTGGCCCCGCTGTCGCCCTTTGTGGCCCCATATACGAATGCCCTACGTGGCCCCCGCTCGCTCGCGCCCGTCGTGGCCCCCGCTCGTTCGCGCCCGTCGTGGCCCCATACGCATGTCCTTCGTCGCCCCGCTGTCGCCTTTCGTGGCCCCCTCGCTGCCCTTCGTGGCCCACTTTCTGCGCTCAGTGGCCCCGCTGTCGCCCTTCCTGGCCCCATATATGTAAACCCTTCGTGGCCCCCGCTCGTTCGCGCCCGTCGTGGTCCCATATGCATGCCCTTCGTGGCCCCGCTGTCGCCCTTCGTGGCCCCCTCTCTGCCCTTTGTGGCCCCGTTTCTGCCCTCAGTGGCCTCGTCGCTGCCTTCTGCGGCCCCCTATACGCCCCCCTTGGGGCCTGCCTGCCGCCTGGAGCCTGGCACTCCGACCCTTCAGCCAGCCAGGCCGATAATCCGTGCGACTACCTTGCCGCCTGCCAAGGGCCAGCCTGTCGGCCCTTCAGGCCCCACCCTCCTCCCTCTCCTCCTTCCCTTCATCCCTTCATCCCTCCTTCCCTCCTTCCCTCCCTTCCTCCTCCTCCTCCTCCTCCTCCCTCCTCCTCTTCCTCCTCCTCCCTCCTTTCGTCGATGTCGTCGTCGTCGTGGTGAGCCCGCTGTGTGTCCATCTTGGGGTCGGGTTGCCGCGGGTCAGTGTGTGCATCGCCAGCGTTGCCACTGGCCAGGCCGACGGTCCGCCGCTTGCCGGGGCCCGGATTGAAAGCCGGTATTTGAGACGCGCGTGTTCCACCGGCCCAGGTTCTTCTGCAGGCTTCGAACGAAAGCCTCCCGCGACGAGGCCCCCGGGGCTCCCCCGCAGGTTTGCGGAGCCTCTGGAACTGCGCATTGGTCATCGGGGCCATTCCGAGGCCCCCCAGAGGTCATAGAAGGCTTTCGGGTGCCTTCCAGTCCCCCCGCGCCTTGTTTCCGCGCCGGTCTCCGCTCGTATCCACCTGCCCCCACTTTCAATGTTCTTTCCCAGTATTCTCTACTCTTTCCCTTTATCTTCATTCGAATTTCGTTTGTACTCCATTGTGCTATTCCTCAGTTTTTCGCATTCCGCCCACCCCCCCCAGGCCGCCCCGTCCCGCCCCAGCAATCTCCACCCCTTCCCGCTCGCATTCCGCATTTCTCCCAAATTATTATCCGCCCCTCCTCCAGATTCCTCCGTGCGCCCCCCGCCCCTCCGCTCTCCTTTCTTTTCCTCTTCTCCACTCCTTGCCGCTCCTCCTCCTGAGACCCAACGCTTGCCCGCTCCATCCCAATCCACTCCACGCCCCCCGCGCTCCTTTCGATGCGGTTGCAGTTCTCGCTATCCTCCCGCCCCGCTCTCCCAACGTGCCGTTTTTTTTCAGGGTTCCACGGAATTTGTTTCTGAGACCAGTTCGCAGCTGCGCATCCCCCCGTGGGGGTATCCACGATTTGTTTTTTCCAGGGGGTGGTGCGGGGCGCTGTTTATGGCGCGACACATGGCGAAACTTATTGTTAACCTGTGTTGGAGTGGGTGGCGCAAGCCGCGGCGCAAGCTGAATCGCCACTCGCAGCGCAAATCATCGTCCTCCCTCTGTTTGCCCTTCCCCCCCTCCTCCGATCCCTTCGTCCTCATTATCCCCCGTTACCTGTTACCCTTCGTTTTCAATGGCTTCACCAACCGCGCGCGGCAGGGAATGAGTCTACCCCCCAAAAGGGGGCACGATCGAAAACGAAGACGGCGGGTATCCAGGGTCTGGTATATGCACATTGAATGACACGCGAACAGATAAGAGCGAACAGTGTCAAACTGATTATTGTTGTTGTTGTTGTTGTTGTTGTTGTTGTTGTTGTTGTTGTTGTTGTTGTTGTTGTTGTTGTTGTTGTTGTTGTTGTTGTTTTGGGCGGAAGCAGCGTAGTTTGTGGTGCAAAATTTTCCTGCGCAAAGAACGGGTTGCGAGCGTCGGCGTGGGGGGCGCGCCTCAATTGAATAACAGCGGGCAGGCCGGCGGGGACATCAACAACTATTTTTTTTGAAGTGTGAGTTCGATGCGCACCTCGGGGGCTCAAGACATCTCGTGCGTCTGAGCTTCGACGCGGACGTGCCAGCGACAGCGGCGCGGCATCTGCAGGCACAGTGGCCGCGCACGTCCAGTGATGTGCGACGACGCGCCCCAAGGAGGAAGGGGGGGGGGGCAGGAAGAGGAAACAAACGGGATATTAGGAGGAGGAAAAGGAGGAAGAGGAGGAGGAGGAGGAGGAAGAGGTGGAGGAGGAGGAGGAGGAGCAGGAGGAGGAGGAGGAGGAACATTGCAGGCACTTGCCCAGGGACAGTGCAAGACCGCTCGGCACAGTCACTCTGATTGGAGCCCTTTGCCTTTTTTTTCGCCGTTCCTGTGGGGTACCCTCGTTGTCAAGGGGGCCGCGGTATTGGTATCAGTCGTGCCCCCGGTGGGTGGACACCAACCATTCTCCTTCACCGACTCTGCCAGGCCGATCCTGGGCACAGCGCCTTCCTGCCCAAGCCAGGGGGAACTACACACCGGCCCTGGGGCCATGATTGTCCCAGCCAGGATCGTCTCTTCCTCCTTTTGCTCCTCCTCCATCTCCTCCTCCTCCTCCTCCTTCTCCTCCTCCTCCTCCTCCTCCTCCTCCTCTTCCTGCCTCCTCCTCCTGCTCCTCCTCCTCCTCCTCCGTCGCCCCCGCCTCCTCCTTTTGCTCCTCTTCCTCCTCCTCCTCCTGCTCCTCCTCCTCATTTCCTCCTGGCACCCGTGCCATTGGTCCCCTTCCCAGGTGAACAGGCGGGTAGCAGCCCGTTCGTCACCCCTGTTTGCCTGTAGGGGCCAGGAGGGAGAAAATTGCTCTCGTCGCCACGTTTTCCCACCCGTTGCGGTGGCCCACCAAGTATTCCGCCTGGGCTATGGCGGGTGGGGGGTCCCCTGCGGGGGGCTCATTGGAGGATCCATACCCGTCTTTCCCACGGTCAGGGTCCCCCGCCCTGGCGTGCGTGGGGGTGTGCGGTCGCCCGAGGGAGTGGCGCCCCTCGGGTGGCTTATTGGGGCGGCGCTCATGAGGGGGCGTCGTTATTTGAGGCGGCGCGTCTCGAAAAACGGTTCGGCGTGTAGCGCGTGCTTGTAAGTGTCCTTAGTGGTGCGTGTGCTTTCCTGCTACCCTCCAGCAGTGAAGAGTGCATTGTCGCTGGATCCTGGAATTTAGTTTCGCGCGGCCGCTTTTTAGGTTGCGGCTGGGCTTCTTGGTGCTCGGGTGCCTTCGCTAGTTGCACCTGCGCCTTTTTGTGACCGCGTGTAAGTGGCGCCACCCTCGGCTTGCCCCCGCGCCTCTGCTCGAGGGGCGTCCCAGCAGACTGGCGTTAGCAGTTGCTCGCCAATCGGTGCTTTGTTTTTAAAAATTATCCCGGCAAAGCAACCTAACAGCGATGTGTAGGAGCATATCTGGAAACATTCCCCTTAATATTCAGATGAGAATCCAGATGTAGAATTATGCTGTTCTCGCGGTCGTAGTAGCATTCGCGATGACAGTCGCAGTGGCAATGGCAGTCGCAGTCACAGCCTCAGCCTCAGCCTGCCTCAGCCTCAGCCTCAGCCTCAGCCTGCCTCAGCCTCAGCCTGCCTCAGCCTCAGCCTCAGCCTGCTTCAGCCTCAGCCTCAGTCTGCCTTCAGCCTCGGCTTCAGCCTCAGGCTGCCTCAGCCTCAGCCTGTATCAGCCTCAGCCTCAGCCTCAGCCTGCCTCAGCCCCAGCCTGCCTCAGCCTCAGCCTCAGCCTGCCTCAACCTCGGCCTCAGCCTGCTTCAGTCTCAGCCTCAGTCTGCCTTCAGCCTCGGCCTCAACCTCAGCCTGCGTCAGCTTCAGCCTGCCTCAGCTTCAGCATCAGCCTGCCTCAGCATTCAAAATGTGGCCCAGGAGTGGAGTTTTGGGAGCCCGAAAAACACGAAGTGGCTTGCAGTTGGTTCCGGGCATTTAAAATCATGCCCAGGAATGGAGTTCTGGGAGCTCGAAGACCACGAAGTGGCTTACAGTTGGCTCCGGGCATTGAAAATGTGGCCCGGGAGTTGAGTTCTGGGAGCTCGAAGACCACGAAGTGGCTTACAGTTGGCTCCGGGCATTGAGAATGTGGCCCGGGAATTGAGTTCTGGGAGCTCGAAGACCACGAAGTGGCCTACAGTTGGTTCCGGGCATTCAGAATGTGGCCCGGGAATGGAGTTCTGGGACCTCGAAGACCACGAAGTGTGTAACTGTTTGCTTAAAACGACTTCCGCGGATTCTCCCCGGCACCCGTCCGGCATCTGCCCAGACCCCCTTGGGGCGTCATGATGCTTTCTTTTGAGCCTACTAGAAACCTATCAGTCTTCGCTGTTAGGTAAAAATCCTCCTCCTCCTCCTCCTCATCCTCCTCCTCCGCTCCTCCTCATCCTCCTCCTTCTCCTCTTGCTCCTCCTCCTCCTTCTCCTCCTCTTCCTCCACCACCTCCTCCTCCTCCTTCTCCTCCACCTCGGAGCAGGATCGGTGCAGGTGTATGGCTGGCGCCCTCCGGTCCAGGTGAGCTTCGACGAGAGGAGCGACGGCAGCCTGAGCGAGCGTTCGCAGGTCTCCCGCCACTCGAGGCGCAGCGGGCACAGCGCGGACAAGCATCGCGTCCCTGGGCGCAGCAGGCGCTCGGGTGGCCTCGGTGGTGCCTGAGCTGAGGCAGTGCAGCGCTGCGCGGCGAGGCCCGGCGGCGTCTGCGACAGAGCGTCGATGCGCCCATGTGCCTCCATGCTGGCATGCGACGCTCGCGCGTTACCGATGCCGCGTTTTTGCCAGCATGCCGTCTCCGTTTCTCTGAAAGGCTTCGCCCTCTGCCGCCAGCCCCCCGCCCCTCGGATTGCCTGGTTGGCTGGGTCGACGGTGTTGGCTTGCTGGCTGGCTGGCTGGCTGGCTGGCTGGCTGGCTGGCTGGCTGGCAGCTCGGCTGCTCGGCTGTCTGTGTGGATGGACGGACGGTTGGCGGGCTGACTTGCGGCTTGGTTGGCTGCATGTTTGGTCGGAAGGCCCGGTGGGTGGTCTCCTGCCTGGGTGTCCGGAGGAGGAGGAGGAGGAGGAGGAGGAGGAGGAGGAAAAGGAGGAGGAGGAGGAGGAAAAGGAGGAGGAGGAGGAGGAGGAGGAGGAGGAGGAGGAGGAGGAGGAGGAGGAGGAAGGAGGAGGAGGAGGAGGAGGAGGGAATTGTTGGGGGGTCCTGGGCGCGGATCCGGATTTTCGCCAGGGATCGTGGCCTCGGCAGCACGGGCCCGCAGTTTTTCGGGCGGGGTCCTGGCCTCGGGCGAGCGGGTCGTGGCTGTTGCAAGGGTCGAGAGCGGGGCGCCTTGGTTTCACTAGTGGGCGTGGCCTCGAAGGCGCGGGCCCAATTGTTTTCGGAAACGGGCCGTGGCCTCGAAGGCCTGGGTCCGCAGTCTGTCGAGAGGGATCTTGACTTCGGGAACGCGGGCCCATTGTGCCCCACACCCTATGTGGGGCTCTGGCTTTCTCTGGACACCCCCGCGCAGTAACATCAGGAGGACCCCCCCCACACATCATCATCGCCATCATCATCATCATCATCATCATCATCATCATCATCATCATCGTCATCATCGTCATCATCATCACCATCATCATCATCACCATCATCATCACCATCATCATCACCATCATCACCATCATCATCATCATCACCATCAACATCATAACCATCATCATCATCATCATATTCATCATCACCATCATGAGTATCATCATCACCATCATCATCATCACCATCATCATCACCAGCATCACCACCATCATTATCACCACCATCATCATTATCATCATCAGCATCACCATCACCACCATCATCATCATCATCACCATCATCTTCACATCAACATCATCACCATCATCGCCATCATCATCTTCACTTCAACATCACCATCATCATCACCACCATCTTCATGATTCTTAGGCTTACGCCACACCGCCGACCCCTTGTTTATGCCAATCTGGGTTATGGGTTATGGGTTAGAAAACGGTTCTGGGTTATGGGTTCTGGGTTATGGGTTAGAGGCGTCTTGTATGTGTAGCGGGATCTCGCGGCACGCCTCTCGGGGGCCTATGGCAGGCAGTTTGGAACCACTTGGGGGCCCAGGTGGAGGAAAAGGAGGAGGAGGAGAAGGGGGACACGGAGAAACGGCTCTGGGTTATGGGTTATGGGTGAGAGGCTTCTTGTATGTGTATCGGGATCTCGCGGATCGCTTCTCGGGGGCCTCTGGAAGCGAGTTTTGGAGCCACTTGGGGGCCGTTTCGGAGCCTCTGGGGTGCTTCTTGGGGGTTCCTTGGGGCGTCTGGGCGGCCTCGTGAGGGCCTCTGGGGGCCTCTTGGGGCACTCTTGGGGCCCCCTGGGGCTCCTGGGGGCAGAAAGCTAGAGTTTCAACATGTTTGGTCGCCCTCTTGGGCCCCTCTTGGTGCCGTCTTGGAGCCCTCTTGGGCCGTCTTGGGGACCTCTTGGGCCGTGTTGGGGCCGTCTTGGGCCGTCTGGAGGCCGTCTTGGGGGCCTCTTGGGCCATCTTGGGGCTGTCTTTGGGGCCTCTTTGGCCGTCTTGGAGCGTCGGGAAGCCGAAAAGGCGGAAAAGCAAAAAACATCGAAAAACACTATGGAAAATCAACAATTTTAGACTCTTGGGGCCCTCTTGGGAGGCTTGTTTGGGACCTCGGGGGCCGTCTTGGAGACCTCTTGGCCCGTCTTGGGGCCATCTTGGGCGTCTTGGAGCGGTCGTTTGGCGTCTCGGGGCCTTCGTGGGCCGTCTTGGAGGCCTCTTGGGGGCTTCTTGGCCCGTCTTGAGGCCCTCTTGGGCCCGGAAAAGCCCCGTGAACCGCTCGTCCCGGCCGTGCTGCGCTCGCGCCGGACCCCCCCCCCCCTCCAAATCGACCGGACCGGGCTCCCGGGGGAGGGGTTTGGGGAGGGGGAAGCATCTCACACGCCGATGATCCCCAAGGGGTCGGCGGATTACTATTATTGTTAATACTTTTCGTGTAATATTCCGTATTGCCATTAGTATCATCACCAGCATCATCATCATCATAATCATCATCATCGCCATCATCATCATCATCGCCATCATCATCATCATCATCATCATCATCATCATCCTCATCCTCATCCTCATCATCATCATCATCACCAGCATCACTATCATCATTACCATCATCATTATCATCATCATCATCATCATCATCATCATCGTCATCGTCGTCGTCTTCGTCGCTGCCGTCGTCATCATCATAGTCATCGTCGTCGTCACCATCATCATCATTATCATCATAGTCGTCGGCATCATCATCATCATCACCATCATCATCATCATCACCATTATCATCATCCTCATCATCATCATCATCATCATCATCATCATCATTATCGTCATCATCGATGCCGAGCTGACGGCCGAGGACGGCCATGAGGGACCATGGCTAGATCAGGTCCGCTGTGAATAGTGGAGCTGCAAGCTGCGTAGGAGGAACCACTGCGTGTTCCCCGACTGCACAAGGAGGACTTGCGGCTGACACCCCTAGGCGACCTCGTTATTGATCGCAAATAATTTCGCCGGCCCTACAGCCTTCAGAACCAGAGGTAAACACACTACAAGAGAACCCTGGGCCCGAGCCCTTTCCGGGGAAAACGTACAAAACATCAGTTGTCGACTGCCTCCGTGTAAAAAAAAACGCTTCGCGGGGTGGGAGATCCATCTTACGCAAATCTTCGATGGTGGAAAGAGAATGGCACCCATATTGTTTGATTGTGGAGGGATGAAAGACGGGAGGGACAACCAGAAAAGGAATAGAAGGAGGATGAGGGGGAGCAGAACGGATTCACCGTTTTTTTTCATCCGAGTTTACTTCCATCTGTTTAATTTCATCCGTTTATTATCGTCCGTTTATTCTCATCCGTCTAATTTCATTTGGTTTGAATTTATCCGGTTTCTTTGCGCCCGGGCTTAAATTCATCCGGTTTTAGTTCCCCCAGTTTAAATTCTTCCGCTTTTAGTCCGTCTGGTTTAAATTTCACCGGTTCTAATTTTCTCTGCGTGCCACTCTGTGGCTTGCGTTGTCTACTTGGTCCATTCCGTTTACAAGCTCGTCCGGTTTAAATTCGTCCGGTGTAGATTCGTCTGGTTTTAATTCATCAGTTTAAGTTCATATGGTTTTAATTCGTCCGGTTAAACATCATATGGTTTTGATTCGCCTAGTTTAATTCATCCGGTTCTAATTCGTCCGGTTTGAATTCATCCTGCTTGCATTCGCCCGGTTTAAAATCATTTGGTTTATATGGTTCGGTTTCAATTCATCCAGTTTAATTCACCCAGTTTGAATTCATCCCGTTTCAATTCGTCCGTTGCGAAATTCTGAGGGCGTCCCGTGTAGGAAACGGCGTGTGCGCCAGAACGCCTCAGTTCTGAATTTGGAATCCGGCCGAAATCGGAAAGAAGGGGGTTGGAGTCGGGAGCGCGGGAGCTGGAGTTGAACTCGGAGAGATGGGAGTTGGGGTCGGAAAGTTGGGTGTCGGAGTCGGAAAATTAGGAGACTGAGTCGGAGAATTTGGAATTGGAGTCGGAGAGATGGGAGCTGGAATCGGTTGGGAGCCGGAGTCGGGGAGACGGGCGTCGGAGTCGGAAAATTGGGAGTTGGATTCGGAGAGATGGGAGTTGGGGTCGGAAGGTTGGGTGTCGGAGTCGAAAAATTAGGAGATTGAGTCGGAGAATTTGGAACGGGGGCGGAGAGATGGGAGCTGGAATCGGTTGGGAGCCGGAGACGGGGAGACGAGCTCCGGAGTCGGAAAGTTTGGGGTTGGAGTCAGAGAATTGTGAGCGGATGTTGGCCAAAAGGGAATTGGAAATAATAAGGGGGACCACGATAGGCGCCATTTTGAACGACGGGAGCACAGCGCCGATCCGAGAAGGAGGCCCACGCTGTAGCGACAGTACCATAATGAAATGCCGGAAACAATCGGATTGCACAACAAAACGTAAAACAACAACAGTTGTTGACATTTTCCGTGTAAAACGCACATGGCGGGGTGGGAGTTCTTCCGCTAAACTTCTGTGGAGGAAGGAGAATAGCACCCGTACTTTGTGACTGTGGAGAGAGGAAGGGGAGGAGGAACAACCAGAAAAGGAAGAGAAGGAGGATGAGGGGGAGCAGAGCGAGCACAAAGGCCAAAGGCCTCTTGGCTGCCTTTCGACGTCTCTTCGGATTCTTTCTTCCGGTTTCGATTCGTTCGGTGTTCACTCGACCGGGTTAAGTTCATTTTGTTTTACTTCGCGCGTGCATCGCCTGTGCGTCGCGCGTGCGTCGGCGATGTGTCGGCGATTCGTTGCGATCTCCCGACCCCATCAGCTAGAACCCCATGTGGGATGACCAGAATTGACAACAACCTTCGTGTATTTCAGGCGGCTGAAGTGTCTGAACTGAAGAGCCCCGAAAACATCGGTTCAAGTTTGATATTCAAGCACCCCGGCACAACATGCATCCCTGGACCCCTGGGAAGATGCTGGAAGTTAGAATAAACAGAAAACCTCTTCAAGTCCAGTCCTGAATCTAAACTGGGCGAATTAAAACTGGATGAATTTAAACCGGGCGCATTAAAACCGGATGAATTCAAATAGATGCGCGTGACAAGCGTTTTAAGCA